TTTAACTGTATCCAGAAGTTCATGAACACACAATATAAACTGGGACAAATGTGTAGATGTGTGCAGTGATTGTGCCAAAGTAATGGTTGGGAAAGTGGCAGGCGCTGTGACATGAATAAAAAATGTAGCAAAAAAACAGCACCAGTTCTCACTGTGTTCTTCACAGACATGCACTGGTAGCTAAAAATATTTTAATCTCTCTTAACTGTGCTAGAAGAACTGGCCCAGATTATTAATTTTATAAAAAAAAGTCGATCATTACAGTCACGACTATTTAAAATTATATGAGAAGATATGGATAGTCACCACTTTCCTCTGCATTCAGAAGTCTGTTGGCTATCACAAGGTAAAGTCCTTGTTAAAATGTTTGAATTGTGTCAAGAGTTGTTTGCATATTTCTAGAATCATCTGATCGATTAAACGCTCTGTGGTTATCCAAAGTAGCATATCTGGCAGACATATTCACAAAATTAAAAGACGTATATTTCTCTCTTCAAAGGAAAAACACTGTTATTATTAATGCAAGTGATAAAATATTTTCACTGTCTCATAAACTGCAGTTTTGGACCTCATCTGGTGAGTAAAATAATTTGAAATATTTGCCAACACGTAAGGATTTTCTTAAGGAATCAGAAACTGAACTTGAAGATGAAATTCGCAATGAAATTGTAGACCATCTTCGCCATTTAATCACATTAATCAGTATTTTCCATTCTTGAATGAAAACAATGACTGGGTTTGAAATTCATAAAAGACAAGCCAGCCAATTTTTCTCTGACAGTCAACTAAGCCAAAAATGTATGCGAAGAATAACCAGAATTGTCTAAGCGGGCAATCAAAGTTCTGTTGCCATTCGCCAGCACATACTTAATAAAAATAAAATAAAAACAAAGGATTGAAATCGACTTGACACAACTGCAGACATGCGAATACAATTGTCAACAATTAAACCAGATATAAAAAGACTTTGCCAGCAAAAGAGAACATTACACTTTGCTCATTGAAATTTTGCGCTGCGCTGCGGCACACAATTTTTTTGTCGTGGTTCCAAAGTTTTGCTATACTATGTCAAAGGGTTGCAAGGGAAAAATTAATTGGGAAACCCTGCCCTAGCCAGTTGAAGTATTTCAAGCGTTTCAGCTCAAGCACACCTGGTGCAGCTAATTAATCACTTAATTAGTTGCATTAGGTGTGCTTGAGACACATTTTGCATATTTGTGCCAGTGTGAGGGATTCTATTCAGGGGGTTTTATAATCGAGACTGGAGAAGTCATAAGTTGGATTTTTTTTTTTTGTTGAAAATCTGTTTTATTAAGATTTTGTGTGTATAGAAACAGAGCTGTGTCAATACAAACATTTTCAATAGTGAGGACTCGCAGGTCCTGGTTGCACATAGCATAGTAAGGTCGCATATATAGTAGGTGAAGTGTTCATCATGTAGGGCTATACCAGGCCCATAGAGGCCGGGTACTTTAAGCAAGCGCACAACAACAATCAGCATATGGTATGGTACAATACTTCCCTTCTCCACCTGGCATCAATGTGTGTAGCTGTAGGCCATACCTTGGAGCGTCATGCTTTTTGTGTGTACCCTGCAACCCATGGCACTCCGTGCTATGTGTCTAAAGAGGTGCTACGCTATGGTGGGGTCTCAACCATCCCGGGTGTAGTTGGACTTTCAAGGAGCTCCACGTGGCTACTAAGGCCGCTCACTACATACAAATATGGGCCTGTGTGTGTTGCCAGTGATTATAAGGCCTTTCATGGGTCTGTCCGCCCCAGCTATCCCGCCCTTTAAGGGTTTGCGTATATCCATAAGTCATTGGTGGAATTTGTGATAGGCGCGAATGAGGTAACTATAGTGCTGTCTTTCCATGATCGCACTGACTGGTTCCGGACAAGATACAGATACAAGAGTTGCCCCAGGGCCTAAGTATAGGTTAGGTAGGGTAGAATAAAGCAGGCAGGAATAGTCACGCCCCGTCGGGCCAGTTGTCCCCCCCACCCCTTTCATCCCGCCCTATCGGCTACAGGACACAAATGCGAACCATGGCCGCCACATCTCTGCGTGTCTGTCCCAGAGTAATGCCAGAGTAATGCAACCTCCCATTGTTGGGGTGTGAAGGTGGTGTCCATCAGCGCTTCCCACTGCCTGCAGAAGGTATTGTTTTCCGCCAAGTGTCCCACCAAAAGATGTTGGTAGAGGGTGGTTATCGTTTTTTCAAGTGATGTGCCCCTCTCGCATCTCGCCTCGAACCAAGTGAGGTCCCTGTGCAGTCGTTCTTTGTCACATACGGCATCATAATAGTGCTTTACCTGCATGTAGCGTAGCATTATCAGGGGAGTCCGGGGTGTCTCTCCCAACAGGGAGTCCAGGGACCGCAGGGCGCCATCTCGCAAAACTGTGGAGATGGGGATATGTTCACGTCCCTCTTCAAAGGGTCATGGTCTTAACGGGAATCCACCTCCTATCGCTGGATTGTGTGCAATGGGAAGTAGTGGGCTGGGCATGAGTGAGATATGGGGTTGGTTCCTCATGAGTTTCCAGCTGATAAGTGTCTGAGCTATTATTCCCTCTGATTCTCCTCTGCCACCAACTTTAGAACCCCCTGCCCATATGGTAGATTTTAGGCGAGCCTCCTGTCCATCCCTGGTTAGAGCTACCCACTGTTTCCGATGTGTGTTTGTGTGCCACTCAAGGATGCGCTGAAGGACTGTGGCTTGGTGATATCGTCTAAAGTCGGGCAGCGCCAGTCCTCCCCAGTGCCTCGGCAAGCAGAGTAGATCATGTCGGAGCCTCAATCTCTCCCCACTCCAAACATAGCGGATAACTGCAGACCTCAGTGTGGAGAAAAAGTGTGCGGGTATGGCCAGTGGGAGTGTCTGAAACCAATATAAGAGCCTGGGTATGATGTTAATTTTAAGAACTGCTATCCTTCTGAACCATGATATATGTGGGTATGCCCACCTCTCTAGATCCGCCAGTATCGTCTTCAGTAGTGGGGAGAAGTTTTGTGGGTAAAGCTCTACCAGATCCGATGTGATCCAAATCCCAAGATATCTCATTTTACAGGGGCACCATTTGAAAGGAAACAGGGAATCCAGAGCCCGGTATTCTGCATCAGGGATGGTGATGTTAAGCACCTCACACTTGGATAAGTTAAGTTTAAAACCCGATATCTTACCGAATTGTTCAAGTGCCTCCATCAGACAGGGCATGGTGGTTCGGGGTGAGGTGATAAAAAAAATAAACAATCGTCCCCGTATGCGGCTACTTTGTGTTCCACCCCTTGCCAGGAATATCCCCGAACGTTGTCTGATGTTGTCTGATAGTTTGGAGCAGGGGTTCCAGGGATATGGCAAATAGCAATGGGGACAGTGGACATCCCTGCCTTGTGCCATTGGAGATCGCAAATTCAGTGGTGAGTTCACACGCACCGTGGCCTGTGGGTTGTTGTATAGCGCCCGAATCCACGTGAGGAGTCTTTGTCCAACCCCCATTTTACAGAGAGTGGCAAACATGTATCGCCATCTCACCCGGTCCAACGCCTTTGCGGCGTCCATGGAGAGGAGGAGAAGTTGTTGCCACGTCATCCTCACTCTATGTTGTATTGCAAATACCCTCAGGGTACTATCTCGTGCCTCTCGACCGTGTATAAATCCTGTTTGGTCCACATGTATGAGAGCCAGTAGGACGGACTGGAGCCTAGTCGCCAGTGCCTTAGTGAACAATTTGGCGTCCACATTCAGCAGGGAGATTGGGCGATAGCTGCCACATACCATTGGGTCCTTTCCAGGCTTCGGTAGAACAGTTATTATAGCCGCCTGAGATTCTGCCCCGAAGTTCCCCCCTTCAGCGACTGCATTGATGGCCTTCGTGAACCATGATAGCAATATGGAGGAAAATGTTTTCTAATACCCCACGGAGAAGCCGTCCGGGCCCGGTGTTTTACCCATTTTGGCCGACTTCAGGGCCACCAGGAGCTCCTCCACAGAAATTAGGGTGTCCAGCGTCTCTGCCATATCCGGGCTGATCGTTCTCGAGATAGACTCCTGTAGGTAGTCCCGCATCCGGGCCTCCTCCGCGTCTGAGTCGTCATTTCCATCAGTTACATGTACATTATAAAGCGAGTGGTAGTATTTCCTGAATTCTCCCGCTATCTCGTTTGGGAAGGTCATCGTGGTGCCTGACGAGAGGCGTAAGTTGCGGACCTGCGTGCGGAGGGCATTTCCTTTCAAGAGACGCGCCAGGTATTTCCCTCCCTTGTTGGCATGAGCATAGAAGAACCCCTTGGAATGTTGTAGGGATCTGAGGTTGCATTTCGTGAGGAGATATTTCAGTTGTCGCCTGGCCTGCATGAGTTCCCCGTACGTCTCCATCAGGTGGGATCGTTTGTGTCATTGTTCCAGGTCCAAAATAGATTTGTAGAGATCTTCCATTTTACGCGCGGCTGCCTTTTGCTTTTGGGAGGCTATTTGGATAAGTGTGCCCCTGATGACGCTCTTGTGGGCTTCCCATATTGAGACCAGAGAAGTATCCGGCACGTCATTATCCTGAAAGTACTGTTCCAATGCTTGGGTGATCTGTGCTCGCGTCTCAGGATCGAGAAAGAGGGCTTCATTTAGCCTCCATGACCATGTGGAGGGCCGAAAGAGAGGTGATTCAAGTTCTACAATGACCGAGCCATGATCCGACCACGTCGCGGGGTCTAACTTGGCAGAGATCAGTCGTTGGAGGCCTAATTGGCGAATGAAGATATAAATCGATGCGGGAGTATCGGTCATGTAATGCCGAATAATACGTAAAGTCTTTAGTAGAGGGGTGTAGGGTCCTCCAGCAATCCACAAGGTCCATATCCCCCAATGATCTCTTCATGGAGCGTATGTTGAGTTGCGAGATGCTACTGTGTCCCGTTGAGGAGTCCATGATGGGGTCCAGTGGGGCATTGAAGTCCCCCCCCCCAAGACTAGTGTACCCTCGGAGAAGCCGTTTAGTTTGTTTAACGTTCCCTAAGAAACTGAGCTTGTCTTTTATTAGGTACATAGGCAGTGGCAAACGTGTATAGCATGCCTGCGATCGTTCCTTTCAGAAAAAGAAAGCGGCCTTGCTGGTCAAGTAGACTGTCCAACTTTTGGAACTCTAAGTCCGCTGCAATCAGAATGGCCACTCCAGCCTTCCATGCCGTCGGGTGATCGCAGAAGTAATTTGTTGGGTAGGATTTGTTATGCAGTTTGGGAGCAGCATCTTTTCGAAAGTGTGTTTCTTGTAACAATGCGACCGATATTCGATTCTTCTTCAGTTCCCGCAGTAAATGGGTCCGTTGTTCTGGTATATTCAAACCTCTACAGTTAAGGGTGAGGATAGACAGGGTAGCGGGGTGATATGCACCAGAAGTCCCAGGCCCGTTGCCGGTGTCCATCATGTTGCTATCCACTCTCACCCCCCCTCCAGCCGTGGTGGGATGACCCCCATGAGGGCCCCGACCCTCCGGAGCGGACCAAGGGAAGGTTCGGAGGGGTAAGACAGTACAAATACTTTAAGTTATTTATTGTAAAGTGCCATCTTTTCCACACCTTTTGTGTTGGTCTACAAGAGGTTAATGAGTGGCTAAAGTTAGTGTATGAATAAATGTTTTGGATTTTTAGAGCACTAGGCTGATTTTGCGATTGGATAAGTCTGTAGACATGGATTACACCTGGTTAGAAGGTTGGAGAAGATTTTAAACTAGTGGTGGCGGGTGTGGTAAGGGACACAAATCCACAAAATGGAGATAATCTTTAACTCAGCACAAAAGATGGGGAAGGGGCAATATCAGAACAGGAGGTATGCAATGGTAATAAATATTAATATAAAGTACAAGTGACTCATGATAATATTAAATGTATGCTTACTAATGCAAGGAGCCTAAATAACAAAATGAAGAAACTAGATGCAATAGCATTTAATAGTCAATATTATATAATAGGCATAGCAAACATGGCGGGGTGAGATAAATGACTGGTTAGTTAGCTTAAATGGTTACACGTTTATGAAGGATGACAAAAAACTAAAACAAACTACAATTACCAAATTCATCAAATCCAACTAGGAGACTAGATATTGGTCAAAGGTTTTAAAAGTAATCTCTCCAACCTCGTTGGAAGGGCCCATATCAAGTCTTGCTTGTAACCAACAGCTGTCAAAGACAGAGATTGCATTTGGATTCATTGTAGCCATTTAAAGCTCATCCAAGTACCAGGGAAATAAAGACAGCCTTCCAATTGGCACAATAATTCCCAGCTGACTAACCTAAGTTGGGAAGCCAAGAAGTGCCAAGAGGCTAGTCATGAAGCCATGTATCCAATTTATGGAAAATCTGGAAGCAAAATTATTTTGTGCTGATCCTTTTCAATCTGGATGAAAGGTTTTTTTTTTAATGTCTTGCTATATTATATGTATTATTGTGCTTTTCTGTAGTATTCAAGAGCAGCCGTTCTCTGCTTTTGTGAGACATAAAAGTGAGGAGATTAGAGTACCATGGGAGAAAGATAGACAATTCATATATTGATATATGCTGAATTTTATATAATGCTTCAGTCAGATTTCTTCCACATACTGCAGATGGTCCTTATATTGGGTAGCCCTATAAGAAGTCAGACATTTCTCGAGAACTAAAGAATGGGTTTAGTTGCATACAGTCTGAGGTAGGAGATGTAACGGATCTCCCTGTACCCCTGGCTCCCTGTACCCCTGGCTTAGTACCTCCGCCAAGGACAGCTTCTTAGCTGGAACAGGGTACAAACCGCAACACTTCTGCCTACATTTCCCAAACACCCCAAAAGTACCTTAACAATACATAAAACCCCACAAAGTCACATTCCCTGATAGCCCCAACATATCCAAAAATAACCCAGATCGGTTCCAGAATTTCCTGGAAGTCATAATTTGACCAAACACGCATGGTCCCATGTCCAAAGCAGTTCCAGAGAATCAGGGTTTGCGGTCGGTCTAGTTCGGCAGTTAAAAAACCGACCAAAGTCAATGTTCTTACCATGGAGCTTGTTTCCCTTGTTTGTGGGAAGGTTTCCGCTGAACAGTGTATTTCGAAGTGTTATAGAACTGAACACTGGCGATTATGGAAGTCCAGCGGTGTCCGGAAATGGTTCCATGAACTCGATGACCAAACACCGCTGCCTGTGTTCATGTGAACAAGATGTCCGCCACCTTGTGGTCATCCATAGGAAATGCAGCCACCCAGATGAACACTTAGAACACTGTGGTGGAAGTTGCTACAAAGTATAAATTAGGCTTACCAAGCTTCAGGGTGGTCTCCAGTTTGTGCGGATACACGAACAAATACACGAACGGAGACTTTTGTATTACATTTTACAGGGTCCATAGTCTGGGCAGGAGGCTGGCAAGCAGGCTCCTCCAGGAGCTTGTGGCAAACTCAATTGGAAAGGGAATTTGTCACAGGAGAGTACTCTAATAAACCAAGGAGATGCCCATAATTAATGTAGTGGATCCAGGAAGATTTTTGGGTACAAAGAAAGGTATGAGATAACTTAATAGGAAATTCCTGTGTCAGATATAAATTTTACAAATGATTTGTTAAAGAAAAGGCCCCATATGATTGCAGAAATATATCATGCAGAACTAAAAAAAAATAATAAAATAAAATTCCTAATTACTCAATTTGTTTAATATTTTATTCATATTAAATTATGTTTAATAAATATTTGATAAATATTTGATGTGAATATTTGACAAATATTTGATGTGACATGAAAGCCCTGTTTTCCCTGAACAAAATGATATATGATAAGTGTGGGTGCACATAATATGAAAGGTGAATTACGCATGTACAGACAAATAGCGCAAATTCAAGGTTTTGTTTATGTTTTATTTTTATCACAATGTGTGCAACTGCCTCAGTCCTTAAGGGGTTAATATTGGATTAAAAACAATTCATATGGTCAATATACTGGCTTTTTTTTTTTTGTAATAATACAAAGACTCTGAATTTTTAACTACCAAGCCAAGAACATTATAAATCATACCAAGTACTACAGAGATCTCTATAGTCTTGATATACACAAGGTTTTAGTTCAATAATTGCATAGCTTGCAGAACAAGTAGTAGAATTAAAACCAATTTTAAATCAAATATTAAAATATTGACGAGATTTAGATCTAAAAAATAATGTCCACGTGGACTGCAATACATAAGAATATCAATAAAATGTAAAGACAAATATTGCAGATCTAAGGGTATTTGAAATCATTCTGTAACCAAAAAAAAAAATTCATACTTCATGATAAAGACCCATTACATAGTTACATAGCTGAAAAGAGACTTGCATCCATCAAGTTCAGCCTTCTTCACATATGTTTTTGCTGTTGATCCAAAAGAAGGCAAAAAACCCAGTCTGAAGCGCTTTCAATTTTGCAACAAGCTAGGAAAAAATTCATTCTTGACCCCTAAATAGTAGTCAATTATCTCCTTGGATTAAGCAGCTATTACCCCACTACCACCTCTCCAGGCAGAGAATTCCATATCCTTATTGCTCTTACTGTAAAAAACAAAGCAAAAAACTTTTGCCTTAGATGAAATCTTTCTAAATGTGTGACCTCGTGTCCTATGTATAGCCCTGTTTATGAATTGATTTCCAGATAATGATTTGTACTGGCCCTAACTATATTTGTATAATGTTATTATATCCCCTCCCCTTAAATTTTTTTAACTTTTCTTCTTAACTAAAATGTTCCTTTTGTCAATTTTGTAGCTCGCCTCTGCACTTTTTCTAGTGCCATGATATCCTTCGTTAGAACAGGTGCCCAAAATTGCACAGCATATTCAAGGTGTGGTCTTACCAGTGATTTATAAAGAAGCAAAATTATAATTTTCATCCCGAGAATTTTATACATGACAAAACCTTACTGGCCTTAGCAACGGCAGATTGAAATTGCATATTGCTGCCTAATTTGTTGTCTAACAGTTCCCAAATCCTTCTCGTGTGATCATCCCTAATTCACTAACATTTAGGTAGTTGCTTTTGCATTCTTGACCCCGAAGTGCATAACTTTGCATTTATCTACATTTTACCTGCCATTTTAGTGCCCAGTCCCCCAATCTATCCAAATTCCTCTGCAGCAAAGCAATATCCTGCTCACATTTTATTACTTTACAAAGTTTTTGTGTCATCTGCAAACACTGAAACATGGCTTTCAATGCCTATTTCAAGATCAATTATAAATATGTTAAATAGAAGCAGTCCCAAAACAGAACCCTGATGGACACCAATTAGCACTTTTGTCCAGCCTTAAAATTTACCATTAATGACAACTTGTTGTACGCTATCCTTAAGCCAATGTTCTACCCAAGAACAAGAATAATCATCTAGACCAATTTCTTTTAGTTTGAAGACTAACCTTTTGTGAGGAACTGTATCAAATTCCTTGGCAAAATTCAAGTAGATCACATCCACTGCAACACCCTGATCTATACTTAGTACTTCGTATACTGCAATTAGGTTAGTTTGACATGACCTATGTTTCATAAAACCATGCTGATTATTGCTAAGAATGTTCTTCCCATTGAATTCCTGAATATTATCCCTTAATAGCACTTCAAAACTTAAAAAAAAAAGTGCTATGTGGCGAATATTGTCTGCCCTGTTCCTGTGATTAGTTTGCAAGAAAAGTAAAGAGCCATGTCTGACTGGATGAGGTCTAATCATTTAAAGGAATTAAAAATCTAGTGACAGAGCAAATCTTCAGTTCGAACGAGTGACAATGGATGTGGAACTGGACCATGATGTTTAAATAGACTTTATGTCCTTTAAGAAAATCCCACTTTTACACTAGATTAGATAGAGTTTGAGGTACACAATGAGTAGCCACCATTTCAAGAGCACTGGTGGAACACTCCGTATAATACATACACATCCACTATCAGTTTACATTACACTTCAGTTTAACCCCTTAAGGACACAACTTCAGAAATAAAAGGGAATCATGACGGAATGTTTTTGTCATGTGTCCTTAAGGGGTTAATATTGTGTGAATCAATTATAACAGATTGAAATTTGAGCATGGTATGTTTTTTTCCTGTATGTTTATGTAGTGCACCAACATCTAGCAGAGTTCTATGGATCTGGCTGCTGTACACCTCCCTCAACCAAAGCTTTTTTTTTTTTTTTTTAAATAAAAATTTTAAGAAACTGTACAATATGGGGATTCCTTGCGTGCAGGGGTTTCAGACAGCAAGGAGGTCAGGTTCACAGCTCCAAGGTCTGGACAATAATAGAAGCCGTGAGCAGTTTCTAATGGCAGAAACCATTAGAGAAGTTATGGAGTTTTATAGTTGACTATATTTTGAATTTAGATATATTTACAAGGACTCAATGGGGCTACTTTTAGACCCAGGCAGATATGTGTTTGC